TCCGATTGAAGTTTTATCAATGCAAAGCTTATGGAGCACGAAGATGTTTGAAAGAAGAAACCTAAAGTACTACACATTTTCATTTACATTGCCAGTTTATAAGAAATCCAGAATAATTCCAAAAAGCTGAAGTCTAACTCCACCACCACAGCTGACAGATGAACGGACACTGCAAGATTACACCAGTAACGTCAGGGGCAGAGTCACTGAACGGGGCAGGCCTACACAGAGAACAACAACAACATCTCTTTTCCTCCTATTCAAAGAACCAGGAAAGCCCCTGACATGCTGAGGAAGCAACTGGTGCGGGGACAGTTTTCCTAAATCTGGCTATTTTAATTCACTGTAACTCAAAATTTTCACAGAGGAAGGGGTCTCGGGGGTCTTAGGGTTTCTGGAAAGAAAATCACGGATTCTAGGGTGACTCATCTGTCCTCTCATCCCCAGAAGGGGGCTGAAAGAAAACACATCTCAAGGAGATAGTACTAAGTGCACTTAAATACAGGTTTCTGGGTTTAGAGAACTTTCAGACTTTGCTGCACAAAGTATAAGATTTTAAAGCTGATAAATTTCTCACATACTGCACAGGAAAACACCTTTGTCACAGGCATATTTGTCTAAGTCTGCACTGAATTTTGACCCTGGGTATTACACTGTAAACAAGATTCACAAGAAGAAATTTTTTAAGGTAAACACCTGAGAATATTAGCAAGCATATTTACTCCTCAGACCACAAAATATTTCCATTTCAAACATACTAAAACAGGCAGAAAAACATCTATACGTTCATTAGCTTCTATGAAGCTGATAAAGTTACTTATACTCCAGCTTTTGAACTATTTGCACTGCCCTTAGTCCATACAGAACACAATCAAAAGCAGAGATAGATTTTATTTTTTTTTTCTTCCTTCCCTCCCCGCAAAGGAGCAGGAAATAACAACACATTAAAACTTCACACACAAAGATACACAAGACTCCAGTAACTTCCCGCTGGCATTAGAGAGTGGAGGCTTGTATCTGTGTTCAAAGCTAAA